AGCGACAGGCCAGGCCGTGCCGGGCTCGCGTCCTGGGCCTGCCCCTGGCATCTCCACAGCCTGCCTGCCCAGCCAGGGTCACCATCGGGTGTTCCTGGCTCAGCTCCATGCTCAGTGCTCCAGGGGGCCACTCCTGCGCGGGGCCGGGTGGGACAGGTGGTGGCTGTGACCGTGGAGCCCTGCCTGGCCCCAGAGCCGAGGAGAGCAGGGGTGCAGCGGGCGGGGCCACTGGGGCCTCCCCGACCCTGCCGGGGTCAGAGGTCAGACGGTCTCTGGTGGCAATTCCCTGATGTGGCAACGGTCTCCTAGGTGGGGGCTGTGGATCTCCTGGGGACTCCTGGGGCCTCTTGGGGATGGTCAGCGTCCTCAGAGGGCCCGAGAGGAAACTTCCTGCCTCTGCCGAGGCAGCCAGGGCCAAAGAGTCACCTCTGGGAGCAGGAAGCACCTCCGTACCCAGGCCCATGCGGGTACTGTCACCTGGGACCCAGACCCACACGGGCACTGTGTGAAACCCCAGACCCACGAGGGCGCTGACCTGAGACCCCAGACCCCTGTGGGCACTGACGTGGGACTCCAGAGACCCATGTGGGCACCATCACTGGGAACCCCAGACCCATGCGGGTGCTGACGTGAGACCTGGACCCAGTAGACCCTGACGTGAGACCCCAGACCCATGTGGGCACTGACGTGAGACCTCAGACCCACTCGGGTGCTGACCTGAGACTCCAGACCCACACAGGTGCTGATGTGAGACCTCAGACTCACAAGGGCCCTGATGTGCGACCCCAGGCCCACATGGGCCCTGACGTGAGACTCCAGACCCACGAGGACGCTGACCTGAGACCCAAGACCCACGTGGGTGCTGACATGAGACCCCAGCCCACGAGGGCGCTGATGTGAGACCCCAGACCCACGTGGGCGCTGATATGAGACCCTAGACCCACGCGGGTGCTGTTACCAGACGGGGGCCTGTGTCTCTGCTGCCACGAGCCACTAGGCAGGGTCGGGAGCAGCGGTCACAGGGCAGCGGGAGGTGGCGCTGTCTCATCTGCCCCCCCCCCCCCCCCGCCCTACCCACTGGACACTGAGATGAAGGTCAGGGCTGCCGGTGCTGCTGCCCCTGGGCCATACATGCCCCCTGCTAGGAGGACCTGGTGCTGTGGCCCCGGCAGCACAGGGACAGATGGGCGGGGCCAAGGCAGAGCATCCCCGAAGCTGCCCTCACTGTCCTCCCTGCTGGCCTCTGCCTGCTGCTCCTGAGAATAGGGCCACAGCGGTCAGTGACCGGGTCCTGATGGCCACAGTGGGTCAGTGACCGGGTCCCACTGGCAGCAGTAGGTCAGTGGCCAGGTCCTGATGACTCAGCGGGTCAGTGACCAGGTCCTGATGGCCACAGAGGTCAGTGACCAGGTCCCAAAGACTCAGTAGGTTAGTGACCAGTCCCAATGACTGAGCAGGTCAGTGACCAAGTCCCGATGACTCTGTGGGTCATTGACCAGGTCCTGATGGCCACAGCGGGTCAGTGACCAGATCCTGATGCCCACAGCAGGTGAGTGACCAGGTCCCAATGACTCAGCAGGTCAATGACCAGGTCCCAAAGACTCAGGTCAGTGACCAGGTCCCAATGACTCAACAGGTCAGCGACCGGGTCCCGATGACTCAGCGGGTCAGTGACCAGGTCCTGATGGCCACAGCGGGTCAGTGACCAGGTCCCAATGACTCAGCAGGTCAGTGACCAGATCCTGATGGCCACAGCAGGTCAGTGACCAGGTCCCAATGACTCAGCAGATCAGTGACTGGGTCCCAATGACTCAGCAGGTCAGTGACGGGGTCCTGATGGCCACAGCGGGTCAGTGACCAGATCCTGATGGCCGCAGCGGGTCAGTGATCAGGTACTCGGTTGATTTCTGTCATACTCTGGGGTCCTTCGGGACCAGAGGTGCCCGTGCCCGGGTGGTTCTGGAAGTTCCTTCTCTTCCGTTCGCTAGAAACCTCAGCCCGTGTCTCTTAGTGAACTTGTGCGTCCCTGCGACTACTGTCCTGCTGGCTGGGCCACGTGTCCTGACGCGGCTTCCTGGGAAGCTTGTGGTGGCGTCTGGGGCCCGGGAGCGCCCACGTGTCCAGTGAGCCCGAGTCAGCACCAGCTGGTACCGGCCCAGGCCTGCAGGGGCCGAGGAATAGGACAGGGCCGAGGCCTCGTGCGTGGGGCCCCAGGTCTGTCCCTGACACGGCACAGTGTCCCCGAGGCCACCCTGGGAGCGAGCCCCGCCCCCCCCCAGGGAGATAACGGGTGACTCCGGACGCTGGTTCCGCTGATTCTCTTCTGGCTCTTCCTGGGCTGGGTCAGCCTGAGAGCGGCAGGCTCCGCCCTGAGCCCCCCGCCCCGTCCCCAGCCGTCCCCTCGAGGTCTCGGAGGGGGCACGGCCGGGGGGGGCACGCAGGGGAGGGTCTGACCCCTCCTGAGCCACCCACCCTCCGCTGAGCTATCCTGGGCAGTCACGGGCCAGGCAGGGACAAAGCGTTGTCTGCCGCTTGCTCCCCTGGCGCTGCACCCGTGGGAGACCCCGCCCCACCCCGCCCCATGTCCCACACTGCCGCCCCTTCAGGCCTAGATATCAGCCGTGTTATCACTGGGGCTTCAGGCCACACCCGGTGGTGCTCAGGGGCTGCTCCTGGCTCTGTGCTCGGGAGAGACCCCTGCAGTGCTCAGGGGAGACCCCGGGAGGCCAGGGGTGGATGTAGGGTTGCTGCCGCCACAGTCACAGGAGGGGCAGAGGCAGGTACCTCCCTCCCCTGACCGTCAGAGCCCCCTCCCCTCCCCTCCCTGTGTGAAGGTCCTTCCCCTGCCATCTCTCGGGCCCTGGAGTCGGTGGAGACAGTGAAACCCAGGCGGTTGCCCGCTGGTCTCGGTTCTCCAACCCCCCGTCTCCCACCATCGCTGCTCACCCGCGGTGCGGGCAGAACAGGGGTCTCTGGGACCCTCCACCCAGCACAGAGGTCCCTGTGTCAGGACTGCACGGCACGCAGGCTGAGCCCAGGGCAGGACCCGGCTCACAGCCACCAGCTGTGCAGGAGTGAGCGGAGGGCCCAGGGTCCCGAGGCTTCCTGGCCCCCCCGGCGTCTGCTTGGGACGGCTTCGCTGGGAGGCAGCAGGGGGCCCGGTTAGGATGGACCAGCTGAGGTTGGGGACCGTCCAGGCTTCAGTGCCGAGGACAGGATAAGTAGTCAGGGGTGGGTGCTCCCATGGTATGGGCATGGGTGCTCCCTAGAACTGGGGTGGGTGCACCGTAGGACAGGTGTGGGTGTGCCCTAGAACAGGTGTGGTTCTCCCCAGGATGGGTGTTGTGCTCCCCAGGATGGGTGTGGGTGCTCCCTAGAACAGGAGTGGTGCTCCCCAGGATGGGTGTGGTGCTCTCCAGGATGGGTGTGGTGCTCCCCAGGACAGGTGTGGTGCTCCCCGGGACAAGGGTGGGTGCTCCCATGGTATGGACATGGGTGCTCCCTAGAACTGGGGTGGGTGCACCCTAGGACAGGTGTGGGTGTGCCCTAGAACAGGTGTGGTTCTCCCCAGGATGGGTGTGGGGTGCTCCCACGGTTTGGATGTAGTGCTCCTCGGGACATGTGCCGGCCTCCCCTGCCGTGGGAGGTGGCAGGCAGCCCGCAGGGTGGCCGGGGTGGCCCCTGACCTGTCCTCCTTGGCTCTCTGATCCGCGAGGAGGGACTCGGGAGTGGGGGCAGACCCCGTGGCCGTGCAGCCTGTGGGGGGCTGCTCCCGGGACCCCGTGCTCCCGGCTCCGACTGCTGCCTTTGCCAGGTGCTTGGTGCCAGCCCGCACGCCCGATCCATGACGGGCACGTGCCACGGGACTCTCCGTGTGAGGGGCTTCATGGAGACACAGTCCCGCATCCCCCCGACTCGGCTCGGGGAGGCCCTTTGCGGGTCAGTTGCGGGGGCTGTGGGCGCCACTCCCTCTGGTGGACCCCTGGACACCCATCCCGTGGGCTTGCCCGGGGTCGGGCCCGTGGAACAGCCCACGTTCTGCCGCCTGCGGCCACAGAGGCTGAGCCCGGGTGTCTGGCCCCAAGCTTGGGAGGTGCCTCAGCCCCAACATGGGGTTTGGCTTCTGGGGGTCCCAGGCCACCGTGAGGGCTGAGGGCCCCTAAGGGACACTAATGGGCACGGCTTGGTCCTCGCCGCCGGCACACCCCAGTCTGCCTAGGCTTTCCCGGGAGAGTCGAGTGCCATCTGGGGAGGGGGCCTGGTGGACCCCCCCCCCGTGCCTGCCGCCCTCCGCGTGTGGGCTCTGGGTAGGGCCTGGCGGCCGAGAGACCCCTGGCCCTGCCCTGGGCTCCCATCTCTGCCCCGTGTATGGGCCCATGGCAGCCGCAGCCGAGGGAGGAAGCGTGTCCAGACGACTCAGGGCTGTTCCCCACCCTTGCCCGGACGGCGGCACCCTGGGAGCCCCCATCTGCCACTCTCAGAGTTGGGCTCTGTGCCACCAGCCTGTGTCTCCTGGCCAGGGAAGGGTCCCCCCGTGTGTCTCAGGTTGTTGCCACGCGTGCCGGAGGCGGGCTGCGGGACCGGGCCTGGTTTGCTCACTGCCAGCCCCAGGCCCTTCAGGTTGGCCCGTTGCACACCCACGGCTCAGCGGCTGCGGTGGCTCGGGACCTCCCTGGGTGCCATCAGCCCAGCGGCTCCGCCTCTGAGACCGGCCCTGTGGGGGTGGAGGGGGTCCCCTGTGGGCGCATGGGGCTGCCCTTCCCCCCCGTAGTGAGGCCCGCTGTCCCCAGCCCAGAGCAGTCTGACCATCTGCTGCAGCCAGGGCTCAGGGCTGGGGGGTCCCGGCCTTCACGCGGCCCCAGCGGCCTCAGTGACCAGCTCACCAGCACCAGGGTGACCGCAGCCCAGGCCGGGCCGGTGCTGTGGACTGCACCGGCCCCCTTAGGCCCGCAGCTGCCTGTGCCCACGCCCGCCTGACCGTGCCCTCTCTGGTCCCGCAGTGGAGCACGACGAGGACCTGTCCCCGCGCCCACGCCACCACCGGGCCTTCAAGTTCAACCTGTCCCAGATCCCCGAGGGCGAGGCCGTGACGGCCGCCGGGTTCCGCATCTACAAGGACTGCGTGGCCGGCGGCTTCAAGAACCAGAGCTTCGTGGTCAGCGTCTACCAGGTCCTGCAGCCGCAGCCGCACAGGTGGGCAGCGCCCGCTCCCCCCACACCGGGAGGGCCAGTGGGCTGTGCGGGTGGGTGTGTGCGTGTAAGGGCCATGAGCGAGTGTGTGCGTGTAAGAACCGTGAGCTGGTGTCGTGTAAGGGCCATGAGCAGGTGTGCGTGTGAGGCATCAGTGCACGCTCCTGGGGGCGCGAGAACCTGTGTCCAGGCCCGGCTGGGACTCCGCCATCTCAGCGGGAGGTTCTGTGGCCCCTCGCCCAAGGGCCCCCGACTGTGGGGCTGAGTTCCTGTCGGCTCTCCATGAACAAGGGGCTACTCCCGGGGGCCACACCCCTGCCATTGCCATTTGGTCTCTGCTGGGAGGCCAGTCTGAGTAGGGACGTGCTGACCCTGAGCCCTCCCTGTGGTGACTCCGAGCCCCCGAGCCTGGGAGCCACGAGCCCGGCTCCTGCGTGTTTGACTGAGGCCACCCCCAGCCCGGGCGTGGTGACCAACCCCCGCGGGAGGGAGTTTAGAGGCTGACAGGGCCGAGAGGGGACACCAGCCCAGCCTGGAGATGCCCACCAGCCCTGGGTCCCTCAGGGCCAGCAGCCGTGGACACGAGCACTGACCTGGCCTTACGGGTCGCGGAGAGCAGGGATGGCCCAGGTGCGGGTGTGAGTGGGCAGCCTTGGCCCTGCCAGCCCGTCCTGGTCCTGCGCTGGGTCCTCCCCGGGCCTGTGGCATCTCTGGGCGGCCAGCAGGCCCCAGTGCCCAGGGACCGACCCTCAGGCTTGTTTCATCCTGGAGCGCAGGTAACCTTTGGCCTTGTCCCCCGGGGTGCCGGCTGACTGCCGCACAGACCCCCCACCCCCCATTCTTGGATGGGGAGGGGGTCTTCTGGGCCACAGGCTTGGGGCATCCCGACTGTCTGCATCTGGGGCCCGGCCCCTGCCCAGCTCGGTGGAGACGTTTGGGCGTGTGGACGTCTGTGTCCTCTCGGCAGAGTCCAGGGGCTGCTGCGTGGGGCGAGAGATGGTCCCGTGTGCTCCCAGCGTGCCCCCGCCCGCCCCACGCCCTCCCAGGCCCTGCCGGGCTGTGGCAGGAGCAGACTCCACTGGTGCCCACCGTAGCCCTGCCGGCCCTCCACACCGCGCTGCCGTGGGGTCCGCCCCTTTGCCTGGTACGGCCTGTGCAGGTCCTGCCTGCGGCCCACCCACCCCCCAGGAGTGACCGCTCACGTTCTGGTCTGGTCTGGGGCCTCCCGGCTCAGCTCGGCTCCCGCCGTGCCTGCCCAGCCCTCTGCAGCCTCACTGCCCTGCGTGTCCTCTGGGGGGCGCTCCGCTCCTCCGCCCGCTGTGTTCGCGCCTCTACCTGGACTCTTGAGGGAGTTTCACGCGCCCTGGAGAGCCGCCGGGAGCCGGGCCATGAGCCGGGGGTCCCGCCACAGTGAGACGCGTCTCCTGGTTGTGGCCCGTGGCTTTCGTGCTCTTTTATCCGTTGTCTTAACTTTGCTTTTCTTCCTCGTTGATGGAGCCCGATTGAGGCGTCCTGCCTACGTCCCCGGTCTCTCCATCTCCGTCCCGAGCCCACTCCCGGTTAGTCTGGGGCGGGCGTGAGCGGCTCCCGCCCCGTCCCTGCGTGGGGACCATCCAGTGCTCCCGGGCGACCCCGACCGGCTTCCGCCCGCCTCGTCTCCCACCCTGTGCTCCCGCGGGGGATCCGGCTCCCGCCCACCTGGCGTCGGTCCCCTCACGCCCTTCCTGACCTGCCAGAGGCTTTGGGGCCAGGAGCTTGTTGGGAAAATCCTTTTGCTTTCTTAGGACAAAAGCCTTGGCACGAAAGCGCTGAGTGGGGGGCTGGGAGACCATGGGATCTTCCAGAATAACGAGGCAGGACAGGCGCTAAGGCACCGGGGTGTGTTGGTTGCAGCCCCCGGCAGGGCTGTCTCCCGAGCCAAGGTGCCTCCCCCATCCCACCCCAAAAAAGGCCTCCACAAAGAGAAGTTTGCTGTCACCTTTTTTTTTAAACTTGTCACTAGATTTGCAGATTGCTAGTGAGTCTCAGGTAAGCAGAGTTCCAGCTCTGCAGTGTGTGTGTGTGTGCGTGTGTGTGTCTGTGTGTGTGTGTGTGTCTGTGTGTGAGTGTGTGTGTCTGTGTATGTGCCTGTGTGTGTGTCTGTGTGTGCATTGTGTGTGCATGTGTGTCTGTGTGTGTCTGTGTTTCTGTGTGTGTATGTGAGTGTGTGTGAGTGTGTGTCTGTGTGTGTGTCTCTGTGAGTGTGTGTCTGTGTGAGTGTGAGTGTGTGAGTCTGTGTGTGTATGTGTGTGGAGGGGGCGGCAGTCCTTGGCCTGGCTCCGGGCCTGATGCCTGGTGCTGGGGCCTTGCCCGCTGTGCCCAGAGATCGTGTGGTCAGACCGCTAAGGCCCTGAGGGCCGAGCAGGGGTTTTCAGAAGTGACCCGGCAGCCACTGACAGGCGAGGCCGCGCCCACCAGCTATGAGGCCCGCGCTGCCGAGTACCCCAGGGGTCCCGGGAGAGGGGTCTTCCAGGCCGTCCTCCCCGGTCCCCCCAGACCCGTGCGGCCAGGCCTGCAGAGGCCCGGGCAGGCCTTGCTCCCTGCAGCTGCCATCTCCCGCCTCTTGCCTGGGTGGGCTCGTCTCAGCGTGTCTCTGAGACACGGGCACACGCAGGAGACGTGGTTTGCGCTGGAGAACAGCTGTCTCCGGAGGAGGGTTTGCTGGCTACTTGCTCTGCAGAGGCCACGTGGGCGGCGAGGGGCTGGGCTGTGTGAGGGGGGGAGCCGTGCCCTGCGGTGTGGCCCTTCCCCGGGGGAGGCTTGGCCCAGCACCAGCGGCTGCATTCTTGGGTGGGCCCAGTCTCGGGGCGCCCCTCAGGCACCGCCTGGCACCCCGGAGGCCCAGCCTGAGATCTGAACTGCGGCCTGCTGGGCCAAGGGCCACTAAGGGGCTTCTGGGCTTCTGGTGCGCGGCCTGGGGGTCCCTGCCCCAAGGCCGCCCCACACCTGCCAGTCTGAGCTTCCCCGGGCTCTCCCGTCCGTGGGCATGCTGGGCCCGGGCACCTCGGTCTCTGCTGCCGTGCCCCTGCCCTTTGGGCACCCGGAAACGTCTGCAGGGACGGGATCACGGTGGCCGCGGCGAGGCCGGCTGCTGGGGAGGTGGTCCCGCCTCCCCACGCCACTTCCAGAAAGCCTCTGTCCACCTTGCGGCCAGCTGCCGTCCAGGCTGCCGGCTGAGAATGGGGCGGGGAAGGCAGGCCAGGACGGGGGTCCCAGAGACCCTTTCTGTTTGCCTCCCCCAGAGCAGACTTCTCCAAGAGAACATGCCATGTTCCTGAGCGTGTGCTCACGTGCAGTAGCGTGTTGCTGTCCCTGAAAGTGTGCTCACATGTGTTAGCATGTTGCTGTCCCTAAGCGTGTGCTCACATGCAGTAGCGTGTTGCCATTCCTAAGTGTGTGCTCACATGTGGTAGTGTGTTCCTGTCCCTAAGTGTGTGCTCACATGTGGTAGCATGTTGCTGTCCCTAAGCGTGTACTCACATGTGGTAGCGTGTTGCCATTCCTAAGCGTGTGTTCACATGTGGTAGCATGTTGCTGTTCCTAAGTGTGTGCTCACATGTGGTAGCGTGTTGCCATTCCTAAGCGTGTGTTCACATGTGGTAGCATGTTGCTGTCCCTAAGTGTGTACTCACATGTGGTAGCATGTTGCCATTTCTAAGCGTGTGCTCACATATGGTAGCGTGTTGCCATTCCTAAACGTGTACTCACATGTGGGAGTGTGTTCCCGTTCCTAAGCGTGTGTTCACATGTGGTAGCATGTTGCCGTTCCTAAGCGTGTGCTCACATATGGTAGCGTGTTGCCATTCCTAAGCGTGTGTTCACATGTGGTAGCGTGTTGCCATTCCTAAACGTGTACTCACATGTGGGAGTGTGTTCCCGTTCCTAAGTGTGTGTTCACATGTGGTAGCGTGTTGCTGTCCCTAAGGCATGTGCTCACATGTGGTAGTGTGTTGCCGTGACGGCACGAACACGGCCCGTTATGCCTGCAGCCCCGGGTCCCCGAGGAAGCCTCCGCGCTGCCCTCCCTGGCTGGAGCTCTCTCTGGCTGCGTCCCGCCCTCCCCGTCCCGCGGGCCCTGGGGCTGCCCCGGCTCTGGGCTGCCCACCCGGGCTGTGCTTCCGGCCAGTTGTTCTCTCCGTTCCGTGGCAGCCCGTGCTCTGACGTGCACGTTCTCCAAGTCTGCTCTTCAGGAATGTTCTGGGTCTTGGTGGCCCTCTGCAGGCTGGTGCCAGTTGGCAGGCCGGCACTTCGGTTTCCACCCAGGAAAGCCGCCAGGATTTGGATGAAGGAGGCGCGAACTCTCGGGCTCCGTTTGGGGAGAACCGCCTTTTTCAAGGGCATATGCTCTTGGCCAGGAGGACGACGATTTGGGTGTGCTTAGTGTCTGATTCTTACATTTTCCTGTGTTTTTGAATGGGCCCCATTCCCATTGCTCTGAGAGTCCTAATCTCGGATTGGAAATCCCAGAGACTCCTAATCCGCGGGGAAGGGGGTATCTCGTCCCTGAGGAAGGTGCTGGCGATGAGCACTTGTGTCCGGTGAGGGAACTGTCCTGGTTTGCTCAGAGTCTTTTTAAATACAAACTGCTGTCGGGGCTGCCAGTATTTCTCTGAACTCGACAGGTGGGATGACCCCCGTTGTGCGCTATTACGTCCGCTAAAGGGTGGTCCCAGCTCGGCCACCCAATGTGCGGCTCGTCCTCATGGGAGCAGGGACTTAATGAGAGCCTCTGACAAGGCTGTCGTCAGGGTCAGCTCTGGGTCTGTCTGTCCCCTGACCTGTTTGTCCCCTTGGGCCCGTCCTTGGTTCTGTTTCCAGGCACGCTCCGTCACTTTCCACGTTCAGTTCTGGGCTGTTTGAGGCGAGGAGCAGACGGAGCCCAAGGGTCCCCGTGGGGCCCTGGAGTCCCTCCCAGGAAGCCAGGACTTGGGCCACAGTCTGGGAAGAGGGAGATTCACTGCTATGACACCTGTGTGGGTGTACCTGTATGAATGTACCTATGTGGGTGTACCTGTGTGAGTGTACCTGTGTGGGTGTACCTGTGAGTGTACCAGTATGGGTGTACCAGTGTGGGTATACCAATGGGTGTACCTGTGTGGGTGTACCTGTGTGTACCAGTATGGGTGTGCCTGTGTGAGTGTACCAGTGTGTGTATACCAGTGAGTGTACCTGTGTGGGTGGACCTATGTGGGTGTACCAGCATGGGAATGTCTGTATGTGTGGGAGCACCTGTGTGTGAGTATCTGTGTAAGAGCACCTGTGTGAGCACTCCTGGATGGGAGCACCTTATGGGAGCACCTGTGTGAGTGCACCTGCATGCAGCCTCTCCTTGAGGGCTTTAGCCCTTGATCTTGCTGCCCTGAATTTGGGGTTCACGGCCAGTGGAAGCTTCCTGGGTGCGCTGCCGTGTGGGTGCTGCTCACCCTCCCGGCACCTCTGCCCTGGCACCTCCCCCAGGCGCCCTCGAGGGGGGCTCTGGGCTGACTCGGCGGCTTTGGTTCTGAGATCATCGCAAGCAGGAGTCTTGGCTCGGCGTGTGTGGCTCGAAGCGCCGTGGTTCATCGTCGTCTGCATGAACGTCTGTGACGGATCCTGCCAAGATGCACGGGGACCCGGAGGGGAATGTGGAGAATGCGGGCGGGTGCCCGGGGGGAAGCTCGTGAGCGTCTCCTGCGGCTTTGGCTCTGCCCGCTGAGAGCCGGGCGTGCCACGGTGTGGGCCACAGAGAGGCAGGCAGGGTCAGGGGCCCAGGGCCGGGCTCGGGACGGGTGAAGCCTGCGGCACCTGTGAGAGCACTCCTGGATGGGAGCACCTTATGGGAGCAGCAAGGAGAAAGGCAGGAGGCCCGAGGTGGGCATGGGCTCACGGCCATGACGTGGCCGCCCAGAGTCAGGGGAGACCCGGCCTCCTGGGATCTCAAGTCTGGAGCTGCCCGAGGGGCCACGGGGTCTGGCCGTGGGATCCCACGCACAGGGAGTGCGGCTGGAGCTGAGGGTCTCGGCTTCTCGCTGGACGGGGTGGGGCGCGGGGGGCCTGGGCTCGCCCTCCTCCTCCTCTCTCACCCTGGCGCCAGGGCCCGTCTGCCCCAACGGCCCATCATCCTTCTGGAAGGTTCCTGTGGCTCTGTGCAGGGCGCAGGCCTCAGGGGCTTCTGGGCACAGCTGCTGTTTGTTTTGCTGTCCCTGAGGTCAGGCAAGGCTGCTGTCCCCAGGGCGACATGGCACGGGTCTCTGGGCCTGGGGCTGCACAGCCAAGTCAGCCTGGGCGGGAGGAGAGAAACTTCTAGAAGCCTGGAGCCCGCCAGCAGGCCCCAGGCCGGCCCTCCTGCCCCAAGCCTGGGCGCCCCGTGGTGTTTGCTGACTGACCGCCGGGGGAGAGCCGGGGGCTGTCCACCTGCCCCTCCTCCCGCCACCATCTCTCCGAGGGACCCGCCAGCCCCTTGATCTTGGTGGGAGACCCTGGCGGGCAGCCGGTCACTCGTGAGCCTTTGATCTTGGCTAGTCTGTCTCGGTCTCTGCAGCTGGACGCACCAGGCTGGGCTGGCTCCCTGGGGGATCAGGGAGGGAGCCAAGGGTCTGGACATGCTTGGGAAGGGGCCAGAAGCTTCCAGAACCCGTCACAGTGCTTGTCTGAAATCTAGTGCTCGGAAGCTTCTGGAATCTGTTATACTGCTTGTCTGAACTCTCGTGCGCAGTTCTGGAAAGTTTTCTTTGGGAAAGGGCCGGAAGCTTCCAGAATCTGTCACAGTGCTCATCTGAACTCTAGTACACAGCTCTGGAAAGTTCTCAGACCCAATCTGATTCCTCCGCTGCAGATGTTCCCAGCACGGGGGGCTGGAGTCGGAGGGGCCCTCCAGGGGGCTCCCACCTGTCACTTCAGCCATGGGCCCTGGTGACCCTGCTGGTGGCCGTCCCACACTCTCCTGGTGACCCAGGGAGGCTCCGTCCTCCCGTGACTACAGACACACTCAGACACTCACACTCAGCCACACACAGAGACACACACGCACTCACAGCAACACACACACACATTCATACACACTCAGGTACACCCGCATACACTCACAGCCAAACACGTACACACTTGTCCTCACACGCACTCACACAAACACACAAGACATAATTCACACACAGACAGACACCGTACTCATGCACACACCCACACACAGACACATACACAGCTTGCACTCACACACACGCATCCACTCGCCCACACACACACGCAGACACACTCCGGGCTCTCGGCCCTCATGCAATTGGCCCCGGGCCTCCTGATTTCCCAGGAACTAACTAAGGCCCAAATCTGTCAAGCACGTCTTGGCCCTACTTTGACATCTGCCTCACCCCTCTCCTCCCTCGCTGCTGTCTGGGTTCACTTGCTGTGCAGAGCGGACCTGTGACGGTCACTCCCTCCATCTCCTGTCGTGTCGCTCGGAGCTTCCTGCCGTCTCTCGCTGTCGTCAGTATCTGCATGGATCCGGCACATACCGGTTTCTCTTCTGCTGACTCACCATCTTTGTCCATTTCATATGACCTGTCATCTGTCGAGTGATCCCATGTTGGCATCTCTCCATCCTGCTGACCCGTCATGTCTGTGAATGCTTTCATCCGCCACTCGCCATACAAACACCCCGTTGCCGTCTGTCCATCCACCCACCCACCCATCGTCGCTCCCCCAACCACCCAAACGCTCCACCAATCACGTCATCCGTCTCTCCCTCCATCCTTCCACCCGTCTGCCCAACCATTCACCAGCCACCCACCATCACCCATCATCGATCCATTCGTCCAACCATGACTCATCCGTTCATCCATCCACGTATCTATTCATCCACCACCCACCCACCCATCCACCACCTACCATCCCCGCCCACCCACCCACCCATCCATCCACCCACCCATCCCCACCTACTGATCCTTCCACCCACCACCCACCCATCCATCCATCCACCCACCCACCCACTCACCCACCCATGCATCCACCCACCCACCCATCCATCCTTCCTTCCTTCATCCCTGGCACTTCCTGGGGAGCAGATCCGAGCGGCCACATCAGGCGGGGTGGGTGGGGGGCCTGGACCCTGTGCCCACCCCCTGCGGGCAGTGTTGGTCAGCCCATAGCCCACACCCAGGACGGTGCCGGTCATGCCGTGCTCTCTTGCAGGGAGCCCGCCCTGTTCCTGCTGGACAGCCGCCCGGTGTGGGCCTCCGAGGAGGGCTGGCTGGAGTTCGACATCACGGCCACGGGCGACCTATGGGTGGCCGCCCCTCAGCACAACCTGGGGCTGCAGCTGGGCGTGGCCACGCAGGACGGTGAGTCGCCTGCGCCCTCAGCCCCCGAGGTGGGTGGGTGGGGGCTCCGCTGAGCGCAGCGGCTCTCTGTTCGCAGGCCTGGGAGTCCACCCGCACGTGGCGGGCCTGGTGGGCAGGGCCGGCCCCGACGACAAGCAGCCCTTCCTGGTGGCCTTCTTCAAGGTGAGCGAGAGCCGCGTGCGCACGGCCCGCTCCGCGCCCCGCCGGCGCCCACACACTCGCTCCCGCCCGGGCACCGCCCAGGACACATCCCGGGTCAGCAGCGTGGCCGGTAGGTCCTGGGGGCGGGGCTGGGGCGGGAGGCCGCAGGGGCTGTGGATGGATGGACGTGGGGGCCACATACCCAGACAAGCGGGGGAGGACCCCTCAGAGCCCTGGACACGCTGTGGACCCGGCGCCGGCCTGACACGTGGCAGGGTCCAGACGGCCACCCGAGCCCCCAGGAGTGACCCTGAGCATCGCCGGGGGTGGGCCCTGCACAAACGCTCTAAGAGCACTTCTGGGGAGCAGGTGGGTGTGCGGGGTCCCAGAAGGAAGCTGTCCGGCCCGGCAGTGCACAGAGTCGCGCAGGTGCCGTGGCCAGGTGTGGATCTGGTCCCCTCACTGCAGTGTCCACAGGGGGTCTCCGACCTGTCCCCAAGGGACAGTGAAGCCGTGGTCTTGGGCCCCCCCGTGCAGGGCCTCAGCACGTTGCACCCCCTGACCCTGCCACTGCCCGGCCAACACCAGGCGTGCCCAGCCAGGGGGAGCCTCACCGTCCTGCTGTTCTAGAAGGTTCCCACACACCCATGGAGCGCAGGCCATCTCCTTCCTCTCCACCTCACCCCTCCTGCACCCCGCCTCCCCCCTGGCTGGGCTGTCAGGGGCTCGCCGGGTCACGTGGTCCCTCCGCGGTGACTCCCAGGGCCCATCCCAGCAGGTCAGGCCCACACCCGGGGGGCCCTGAGGCCGTGTGGCGTCTGTTTGGCCCCTCGCCCATGTCCAGGGCACGTTCATCTGCTTGTGTTATTTTATCTTTTGGGGATTCCCAGGCGATGCTCAGTGCCCAGTAGTGAGACAGGGCCTTCAGGGCTTCCGTGGCTGTAGGTCCCGTGGACCTGGGTTCCGTGGACGTGGGTCGGGGCCTCTCCTACCCGTGCTCTGGAGCCACGTGGGGCCGGAAGGGACCTGGTTCCACCTGCTCTGCCGTCGGGGTGGGTTTCCTGGGCCCTGCCGGCTCCTTGGGGTGTGGTAGCTCCGGCAGGACCAGCCCCTGGCCCCGGGCGGGCGGTGCTGCCGCCTGGCGGGTGGTTAGGTCCCTCCCAGACGGGACCCTCGGAAGCAGGTGCCTGCGGCTGTCGGGTCATGCAGCTGAGGGCGCCTGTGTCCCCAGATCCCGGCAGCAGCGAGCTGAGAGCGGCCTGCAGGAGGCACGAGCTGTACGTCAGCTTCCAGGACCTGGGCTGGCAGGTGGGCCGGGCGGGGGCTGCGGGCAGGGGCGGGACGCGCCCGGGCTGGGGGGCCCCGCTTGGCCACACCCCTGGCACCAGCCCCCTCCCTCCCCCGCCTCCTGTGGGGTGACCTGGCGAGCGGGGGAGGGGCTCCCGGCCCAGCGGGGACCGGGCTGGTTCTGGGGGGCTCAGGCCGGCGCCCGCTGCCGCCCGCAGGACTGGATCATCGCGCCCAAGGGCTACGCCGCCAACTACTGTGACGGGGAGTGTTCGTTCCCGCTCAACGCGCACATGAACGCCACCAATCACGCCATCGTGCAGACGCTGGTGAGCGCGGCTGGGCCGCAGGGGGGTGGGGGCCGGGGCGGGCAGGCGCTGACCCCCACTCTGGGCCAGGTGCACCTGATGAACCCCGAGTACGTGCCCAAGCCCTGCTGCGCACCCACCAAGCTCAACGCCATCTCCGTCCTGTACTTCGACGACAGCTCCAACGTGATCCTGAAGAAGTACCGAAACATGGTGGTGAGGGCGTGCGGCTGCCACTAGGACCCGCCCTGGCCCGGCCGGATGGCCCCCAAGGCCCACCCAGAGCCGATGGGTCTCGTGTCCTGCCTGGGGGGGGACACTGGGTCTCGCTCCTCAGAGATGACGCTCTTGGCCAGACCACCACCCTGTGGATTTCTTGGGTGTGGAGGGGACGCGCCCGGGCACTCAGGCCAGCTCTGGGGGGCCCGGGACCCCAGCTGAGTGGCCGCCTGGGATCCAGGGCAGAACCTCGTGAGAGGGTGGAGCACCGTCCACGAACCCAAATCCGTTTTTCTCGTAGGAACACAGCCGAAACTGTAGACTATTTTTTAAACGTCTTTTTTCACGACCGTGTACTGGCAACCCGATTTCATGATTAAATGACACGTTTACGAGCTCTGCTGGCACGCACACCTTTCTTTTGGAAATATAGACGAGAGTTTATTGTTTGTTTATCACTGTTTCTGTCACGTTGAAGGCAAGGCCAGACCTGTTTGTTTAAAAAAGTTTACTTAGAAAGTTCCAAAGTGTAAACAAATTGTACCACGTGGCTTCCCCTCATGAGGCAAAGGCAGGGCCAGGCATGAGGGATGTGCTTCCAGAAAGTTCTCTGGGAAAGAGCATCTGCGTGGGGAGAGACTCCCTTTAAGGCAGACCCGTCCCGCTGCCAGTCTGGGCACTGCTCCAGCGTGACCGTGTCCTCGGGCGCGGCCGTGGGCTGGCGGGCGGTGAGGGCGGGGGCTGGGGCCAACTTTGGTTTGGAATTTGGTCTCGACCTGGGGCCCGAGGACGGCGGGCGGGCTTGGGGTGCAGGAGCCGTCGGTCTGGTTGGGACGGGGCGTCGTGCTGACCCGGGGGCCGGCAGCTCGTCGGTGTGCACTCACGCACCCAGACAGGCCTCGAGGGGCGGACGAGGCCGTGAAGGGCCCCCGGGCCCGGCGCCCATCCAGGTCGCCCGAGGGGGTGCCAATGCCAGTGCTGCCACTGTTCCGGCCCCCGGGCAGCCTCCCAGCCAGCGCCTGGGGCTTGCGCAGAGACCCCGACCGGCTCCTTCTCTGCGGGAGGGGATGGACGGGGGTCAGTGTGGCGGCACAGGCTGGGGCCAGGCCAGCGTCCAGGGGTGGCAGATGCCCCTGGACGGACAGGCTGTGGCCTCGCTCACAGGGGAGACAGACGCCCCAGCTTAGGGGCCTGGCCCAGGGGGCGGGACAGACCCAGGCTCGGAAACAGGAGGGAGGAGGGTTGGGAGGGGAGGGGCTGCGGCCTCGCGGGGGGGCCCCCCACCCCGCCCATGGGGAGGAGGCCTCGTCGTCCCGGGCCTTTCCAGGGACCCCGGAGGACGCCCTGAGCCCCCACCCTGGGCTGCTCAAGATCCCTGAACAGTTTGGCAATTTGATTTTCTTCCACTCTATTTTCGTCTCCAAAGAACCGTTCAGATGGGGGTGGGGGAGGTCGACAGGCAGGGGGCCCCGTTACCACCTCTGGGTGGGGACCCGCCTACAGCTCGTCGCGGGCCTGGGCCAGGACAAAGCGGTGCAGCGAGTCGAGGTCGCGGCCTCCGCTGTGCTCCGCCACCTGGCTGCCCGCCCGGAACAGCAGCAGCGTGGGGTAGCCACGCACCTGTGGGGACAGAGCCGGTCAGCGTGGCCCAGAGCCCCCATCCTGCCCCCGACACGGGGGAGCGAGCCTGGGGCCCCCACTCAGGCCCTGGTGAGGGAGGGTCCGCCGGCACCCACCGAGTACTTGTTGCAGAGGCCCTGCTGGGCCGTGCAGTCCACCTCGGCCACCTTGACCCCCGTCATGCCCGGGAACTCCTGGGTGGACAGCTTCTCCCACGTGGGCGCCAGGTTCTTGCAGTGACCGCACCTGCCGGCCAACTGGCTGGTGAGGGGTGCCCGGGGCCCACACGCCCACACATACACACAAACACACACACTCGTGCATGAAGTTTACATGGGCTCACACCCTCCCCGAACTCACTCACGTCCTTGTGCATGCCCCAACCTAAGACACGTTTCCCCATCGCACGCCTGCACACACATACATGCGTACACACACTCACACGTATTCATTCACACACACGAACTCACACACACTCGCGTTCACGCACACATGTTCACACAGGTTTACTCACACACGTGTGTTCAAGCACATTCACACATATGTCCAGTCACACGCATTCACACGCATACACGTTCACTCACAGCCCACTCGCACCCACACCCAGACCTGCACCTGTAGCCCCTGCACAGAGCCCCCAACACACACAGATACACACACACACACACACACACACACACACACACACACACTCGGTTGCTGCAAAATCAGGTCAGCTTGGGGGGCTGGTGGTCTCGGGTCCCCGACCGACCCCTGAAGCCACAGTGCCTTGCCAGCAGCTGAGCCCTGCCCTGGCCATGCTGACGTCCAGTCAGTCCAGCTACCCCGCCCAGTGGCCAGTCAGCTCTGAGGACGGCTGAGGCTGGCCAGGCAGGTGCTGTGTGTGTGTGTGTGTGGGGGGGGGGGTGTCTCAGCCTGGAGGTGTGGCTGGAGGGGAGATGGGCCTGCCAGTGGCTCGGGGCTGGTGGCGCAGGCGACCACACTGGCCTCTCCTGACGTGGCCCTGGCTGGACCTGTGTCTTGGGCCTCTGGGATCAGGCTCTGGGTGGAACACGGGGGCAGCTCGGAGTTGGGACAGGCCTTACCATGGGGCATAGAACTTGACGAAGGTCACCCCATCCGCTACCGTCTCCTCGAAGTTCTGCTCGGTGAGCGCCAGCACCGTGCTCTGTGGACGGGCAGACTATCAGACGCCGCCTGCCACCCAGCCCGTCCAGCTGCCATTTCTTGGGTGCCCGCCCAGCCTGGGGCACGGGCAGCGGTGCCCTCTGCCCCGCAGGGTCCCCAGGGGTCCCGATCTGCGCCTCGTGCCCTCACAGCCGGGCCCCAGGAACCGAGAGGCGCTCCGTGCATGTGGCTCTCCACAGAGGCCTGAAGGCCCGGCCAGGTGGGGTGGAGTCGGCAGGGCCCAGGAGCCCTCTGCTGGCCACGCCCCGACGCTGCCCGTGACTCCAGCTGGGCTCCTCTCCTCCTTGGCTCCCGGGGTTCAGGCAGGTTTGGGGGCACCCCTCCCGCCAGGGCCTCACGCAGTCTGGGGGTGTGCCAGCCCCTCTGAGCCCGGGAAGCACCGCAGCCTGACGCGCCCATGGCGGTGCCCACCTGGCTGCCCGCGGGTTGGGCACCCAGCACGGGGGCCTCCGAGGGCTGTTCGCTCCCGGGGGTGGCCTGGTCGGCGCCTCGGAGCTGCGTGTCCACGTACTCGCGCAGTGACTCCAGGTCTCGCTTGCCCTTGTACTGGTCAGTCTGCGGACACAGCGCGGAGGGGACGGTCAGTGCTGGGGTCCTGGTGGTGCCACCTCACCCAGCCGCCCGCGGGCGTGGCCTTGGTCTGTCTGTGCCACGTCTAAGCGGGGGGAAAAGGGGTGACGAGTGTCCCCCACGAGTGCCCCCAGAGTGACCTTCCGTGACCCCGCCTGGGCCCGTGGCCACGCACCTTTTTGCCGTCCCGGAACCAGAGGAGTGTGGGGTAGCCGCGGACCTGGTTGCCCGAGCAGAGCTCGTGGTGCTGGGTACAGTCCACCTGGAACGGAGGCGGCCGCGGTCGGTCAGCCAAGGTCGGGACCTTCCTGTCCGACGCACCAGGTACACTCGAAGTGATGAGGGAAACTTCCAGAACCTCCCAGCCATGCCCACAGCTGCTATCGGAAGAGTCCCTCCCCGTGGAACCCCCAGACGCGCCCGAGGTTAGCCTGAGGCAGGTGCCTGCCTGGCACGGGACCTGGTTCGGGCCCACACCTCGAAGGGCCGGAAGCCACGCTGGACCTGAGCCACTGAGCAGACGGCCCAGCCTGGGGGTTGGGGCAGTGCCCACACCCCCGCTGCCCACATCTCCCACTGCCCGACCCTCACTACCCCTACCCCTCACTGCTCACGCCCCCCACTGCCCACACTCCTCACTGCCCACGTCCCCCACTGCCTGATCCTCACGGCCCGCACACCTCACTGCCCGACCCTGCTCTAAGTGACCGTCAGGTCTCAGCGGTGGGCCTGGCTGGGGGGCAGAGCGGGCATTCGAGTGGGGGGGACCCTCCCTTTGCCCCCCCACCGTCCTTCCACCCCCCTCCAGCCCCGGCCCCCACCTTGCCGATCTTGACAGCATCCGACTGCTCCAGGCCCAGGGCCAGCTGCTCCCACGTGGGCGCGAGAGCCTTGCAGTGGCCGCACCACGGGGCGAAGAACTTGACGAAGTGGTCACCTGCGAAGGAGCCGCTCAGAAGATGCCCCACCCATGGTGCCCCCAGGAGCAGACGAGGGGCTCAGAGGGCAAAGGTGAACAAGGCGGGGAGAGCGAGTGTGGGTGGGCGGGGGGGGGCGGGCCCTGCACGTGGAACTGCAGGGGTCCCCCGGCCCGGGAGGAGCACAGAGCCGGGAGTCAGCCCCGACCCCCGAGCACTGAGCTGGGAGGCAGCCCTGACTGAGCCCTGAGCACAGGGCCGGGAGTCAGCCCTGAGCACCAACTGTCACGGCCTCCAAACCAAAACCGAAATACAACGAAGTAAAGAGATGATGGCAGTTGGGAATGGTCAGTTTGGCCAGGAACTGAGTGTCGAGAGTAGGTGAAGGGACAGACGTGATGACCTTCCAGGACCTGTGCCGCAAACCAAGGCCCAAAGGGGGGAGGGGGAGGAGGGAGAGAAGGAGAGGAAGAGAGGGGGAGGGGAAGGAAGGGAGGGAAGGCGCCTGCCCTGGGACACAGCTGGGAAAGTGGCTGGTGTTGGAACATTGTATCACTGAAACCTGACCACTAGCGACTTTGTAACTTTGTATCTGACTGTGATTCAATTTTAAAAAAAGAAAAGGTAAAGGGGGTGAGTGGGGGGGCAGTGAGGTGGGGACCCCCACTCTCCCCAGGAAAGACCCCCCACACACAGACTCCAGCGCTGAGCGGTGACCGTCCGTCCTGCCAGCTCGCAGGACACGGCCACAGCCACAGGTGGGGGCGGGGGGGGTACGGTCCTGCGGCAGGGCGGGTGCTGCCCCGAGCCACCACCTAGAGCCCCCACCTACCGTGGGCCACGTGTGCCTCGAAGTTGCCGGCCGACAGCTCGTACAGGCCCTGCTTGCGCTCGGGGGCCGCGGGCGCCTCGGCCTCGGCCTCGGCCTCCGCCACCTGGGGGCAGGGGGGACACAGCTGCACAGCCTGCCCGGCCCCTCCGCGGGAGGTTCCGGAAGCCACAGCGAGGAGGGGGGAGGGGAGGGCAGAGGAGCAGGTGCAGCCCCAGCACTCGCACCCACACCGTCCGGCTCAGTCTCACGCCATACTCTGGGGCTCACACTCGCAACCCTCACCCTCACACTCACTCATGCTCTCACACCCTCACAATCACACTCACATTCACACTCACACTCAGGCTCACGTTCACTCACACACACACCCTCACAATCACTCTCACATTCACACTCTCACACTCATGCGCACCCTCACTCACGCTTGTGCACTCACACTCATGCTCACACAATCACACACACACAATCACACTCACGCACACACACCCTCACAATCACATTCATACCCCCTCACAATCACACTCTCACATTCACACTCACACACACTCACACTCACGCTCATGCTCACATTCACTCTCACACTCACACACTCTCACAATCACACATTCACTCACACTCATGCACATACACCTTCACAATCACTCTCACTCAGGCTCACACTCACACTCATGCTCACCCTCACTCACACTTGTGCACTCACACTCACTCATGCTCTCACACACAATCACTCTCACACTCTCTCACAATCACACTCACGTTCACTCACACACTCACACTCATGCACACACCCTCACAATCACACTCTCATTCACACTCTCACACTCACCTCACACTCATGCGCACCCTCACTCACGCTTGTGCACTCACACTCATGCTCTCACACAATCTCACACACACTCACACTCACAATCACACTCACGTTCACTCACACTCATGCACACACACCTTCACAATCACTCACATTCACACACACTCATGCTCACACTCACACCCCCTCACAATCACAATCTCACATTCACACTCACACACCCTCACAATTACACACGGAGTAGGGCGTTCGCCTTAAAAGCGGCCAACATGGCCGACCCGAGTTCGATTCCTCCGCCCCTCTCGGAGAGCCCGGCAAGCTACCGAGAGTATTCGAGATGCCAGACACAGTAACAACAAAGTCTCCAATGGGGACGTTACTGGGCCCGCTCGAGCAAATCGACGATCAACGGGAGGGCCTTTACCTTTACCTTTACCATGCTCACATTCACTCTCACACTCACACACTCTCACAATCACACATTCACTCACACTCATGCACACACACCCTCACAATCACTCTCACTCAGGCGCATACTCACACTCATGCTCACCCTCACGCTTGTGCACTCACTCATGCTCTCACACACAATCACTCTCACACTCTCACAATCACGCTCACGTTCACTCACACACTCACGCTCATGCACACACCCTCACAATCACACTCTCACATTCACACACACTCATGCTCACACTCTCACAGTCACACTCACACACCCTCACAATCACACTCTCATGCTCACATTCACTCACTCTCACGACACTCATGCACACACACCCTCACAATCTCTCACATTCACACTCACACTCTCACTCAGGCTCACACTCACTCATGCTCATCCTCACGCTTGTGCACTCACTCCTGCTCTCACACACTCCACTCACAATCACTCACACACACACTCTTACACGCACATTCAATCACACTCATATTCACTCACACAGTCACACTCATGCACACACACCCTCACAATCACTCTCACACTTCACGCTCACCCTCACTCACGCTTGTGCACTCACACTCACTCATGCTCTCACACTCACAATCACTCACTCACACTCATGCTCACACACTCATGCTCACTCACACACTCACACTCTTGCACTCACACGCATGTTTACAGTCTCACTCATACTCACTTTTATACTCTCATGCTCTCACACTCACACCCTAACACACGCTCTCATACTCACGCATGCTCTCACACTCGCTCTCACTCAGGCTCACACTCATGTTCACACACACCCTCACACTCACGCTCTCAGTCATGCTCACACTCTCACACTCATACACGTACACTCTCGCACTTACTCTTGCTCTCACACTCCCCCATGCTCCCACTCCCCCTCGCTCACTCTCCCCCTCGCCCACCCCCTCCCACTCACGCCGTCGGGCTCCTGGCCGAGTGTCTTCAGCATCCAGCTCTCCAGCGCCTGGAAGTCCCGGGGACCCTGGTACTTCACCGCCTCCTGGCCGGGCCTGAAGAACTTCAAGCTACGGGGGTGGGGGGGTCGTGAGCCCAGCCGTGGGCCCCCGCACGCCGCCCCTCCCCACCGCGGCCCCCGGGCACTCACGTGGGGTAGCCGCGCACGTCCTGGGCCGAGCACACGTCCGAGTCGGCCGTGCAGTCCACCTTGGCCACGTACACCTGCGCGTCCTCCTTGCTGTTGTACTTGTCACCCAGCTCGTTCCAGGTGGGCTGCAGCCGCTGGCAGTGCCCGCACCTGCGGGGCGGGGTCTGAGCATCTCTGCAGCCCCCCGCAGCACCCAACCCGCGGTGTTTCCGGAGGGACCTGCAGGCGCCGGAGCCTCCCCGGCCGAGCCTGGGCTCCGCCGGCACCAGAGACGTCCCCGATGGCCCCTCGGCCGCCCAGGGGTTCCCACGCCTGCCCCGCAGAGGCCAGAGCACGTGCGCCCACCTCGCGGCTGGCTGTGTCCCCAGCCTGAGGGAGCTCCAGGGCCCCTCTCCCGCGCTGGCTCTGGGTGAGGGTCAGCTGGCAGCCCAGGCCGAGTGCCGAGCCTGGCACCCTGGGTCACGCCCGTCTTCCCACACCGCCAGGCCCCAGCTGCCCTCTGCGCCCACTGAGGAGTTCCCTGGAGCTGGACACTCCGTGCTCCCCCGTAGGTGAGTATCTGTCCCCTCTCCCAGGCCCTGCGCCCACGTGAGGACACACGTGCCCGAAAAAGATCGGGGTCGCCCCACTGGCACGGGAGGGGTCGTCCGACGGGGTCCTGCGTCACGCAGAACTGAGGCAGGCGCTGACCCGCTCATCTGTGGCGGGGGGCACCAGCGCTGGGGAAAAGGGCAGGGCAGCAGCTGGTGGTCCAGCCCTGGGGTCAGACGGTAGGGATCAGAGGGCAGGGGGCAGAAGGCAGGGTGCTGCTCCCAGGCTCCGGCCTGCGGGGGGCAGGGGGGTCACTGGTCTCTGCCAACAGCGGTGAAGCCCGACTTTCCCTCCACGGCGCTGGGGATGTGCTGGACCCACATGGAGCCGGGAGCTGGCCACGACCTAGAGTCCAGCTTGGCCACATCAAGGCCAGCCAGACCCAAGTCCCGGCTCCCTACAGGTCTGGCCAGCCCGCGGCCTTCCAGCAGCCGGGGCCCTAGGAGCTGACCCTTCCTGGGAGGGGCCAGGCAGAGGTTCACGGGCTGGACCAAGCAGGACCCCGCAGCGGCTAGCGCTGCTGGTCCGAGCTCTAACCTGTCCTGTCCGGGACTGACTATCCAGGGGCAGTGTGGCCCCCCCCAAAAAAAAACAAACTCCTGAGCACCTCCTGGGAGCCCCGACCCCCCAAACAAACTAAGGGCAGAGCTCCACTTCCTGGGCGCGTTCGCAGAGTCTTTGAGGGGGGCGCGGTGCGACCTGGGGGATCCCGCGCACGGGGGGGGGGGGGGGGGGGGGTGGAGGGGGGGAACCACAGGCTCAGTCCCGGGGAAGGGCGTGGGCGGGGGAGCATCTGCGTGTCAGTCTGTGCCCGAGGGCGACAATTAACCTGAGTGCTCTGGTGCCACCAAGTCACCGGCCCCCCGCCCCCGACATGCCTGCCGGGCCAGGTCCCAGACCCGGTTACCCAACGGCACCGCCTGGGCCGGATCTAACCGCACTAGTGGCGCAAACTCTGCGCGGTTCCGGGACGAACCCGCCCCCAGGGGTGGGCGAGACCCCCAGGTGCCGGGTGGCTTCCGCCCGGTCAGTCGGGGAGCGCAGGGGACGCCCACGTGCGGCCAATCTGCGCGCCGGCCAGGAGACCGGCAGGGCCCGCGGGCGCGCAAGTCGGGCCCGGGGCGGACTCTGGGGGAACCCGCACTCTCCTCCGTCCGTCCGTTTGCCCGTCCGCCCGCCCTTCCCGGGTCCCGGGCCCAGGCCCGGGGGAGGCGCGGCCGGGCGGCCTTTCCCGGCGCTCCCCTCGGGGACCGCCCCCGTGCGCGCCGGACGCCCCGGCCACGTCACCGCTGCGCCCCGGCCCGCCCCGCCGCCGCCCGGCCGGGTCCCGGCCCCGACCCGGCCCGGATCCCGAGTCCGGCCCGCCGACCCCCGGCCCGCGGCGCCCACGCCCCCGGGCCCCCGAGAGCCCCCGCCGCCGGGCGCAGGACCCCCGAGCGTCGCGTCCCGGGACCCCCCCGCCCCCCGGCGCGCGCCCCATGCGGCCTCACCAGGGCGCGAAGAACATGACGAAGTGCGCGGCGCTGCGGATCCCGTGCGTGAACATGTCGCCCGTGTACAGGTGCTTGGCGTGCGGGTCGTCCCCGGGGGTCCCCGCCGCGCCGGGGTCCGCGGCCCGGCCGCCCGCGCACAGGAGCAGCAGCAGCAGCAGCAGCGACAGCGGCATCGCGACGCCGAGCGGGAGTGCGGGGCGAGCGGGCATCGCGGCGGGCTGGGCGCCCTCCCCGCCGGCCTGGGCCCGCCCGCGCCCGCCCCCCGGCCGCTCCGCCCCCCGCGCCACAGGCCCGGCCCCGCGCGCCCCCAGGCACGCGCCCGCGCTCCTGAGTCCAGTCCGCTGCGCGCCCCCGTCCACCCGCGCTCCTGAGTCCAGTCCCCTGCGCGCCCCCGTCCACCCGAGCCCGGTTCCAGCCCTGTGCGCGCTCCCGTTCACCCGCGCTCTGGAGTCCAGTCCCGCGCGCTCCCGTCCACCCGCGCTCCCGAGTCCAGTCCCCTGCGCGCCCCCGTCCACCCGAGCCCGGTTCCAGCCCTGTGCGCGCTCCCGTCCACCCGCGCTCCCGAGTCCAGTCCGCTGCGCGCCCCCGTCCACCCGCGCTCCTGAGTCCAGTCCCCTGCGCGTCCGCGTCCACCCGAGCCCGGTTCCAGCCCTGTGCGCGCTCCCGTTCACCCGCGCTCTGGAGTTCCAGTCCCGCGCGCTCCCGTCCACCCGCGCTCCCGAGTCCAGTCCGCTGCGCGCCCCCGTCCACCCGAGCCCGGTTCCAGCCCAGTTCCAGCCCTGGTCCCAGTATTGCACCCTCAGCGCAACCCGGGAGCAGAAGCTTCTAGCAGCGCGGGAAGATGGGGGATCTCCTGATCTCTGCACCTCCCAAAGCCAGCGGGGGCGGGACTGCACTGGGGGTGGCGAGCACCTGCGGCCCAGGGGACTGGACCCTAGGATCTGGGACCCTCGAGGAAAGACCCTGCCACCAGCACAGCCCGGGGGATGAACCTCACCCGTGGAGCTGGGCTTGGCCCAGAGCTCCGTGAGGCCGGCTCTGGGTGGCCTGAATGATTCTGGGTCTGCCCGGGGCTGGTGAAGTGGCTCCCGCATATGCCAGCCTGGGGTGCAAGAGAGAAGACGGGGCTGTCTCAATCCACCCCCGGCACCCACAGGGCCCCCTGAGAGCCGGGCGGGACCCTGAACACTGAGTGCAGGAGGCAAAACGCTAAGGAACGCCCGTGATCGAGGGTGGCACCAGGAGCGTGTCAGTCACAGGCCTGCCCGCCTGGTGCCCGGCCCCGAGGGCCCCAGAGAGCCAGCCCCTCCCCTGCTGAGTCATCGGTCCGGGCAGGGCGGGGGGCCTCGTGATTCCCACCTGTGCACACACCTCACCACCCAGGAAATGAGGGGGTCCGGCCTCGCCCCGGGGAGCTGGAGGCTGATTAGGGCAAATCAGGGGTTGTTCCCCGGGGGCCGAGATGGTATCCTCGGTCTGGGGGCCCCGGGCGGTTTCGGGGGTGTGCCCGCAACTCCCTCGGCTCCAGCCTGAAGGCAGCCTGCCAGGACGCCCTCTCAGGGGGACCGGGGTCCCCTGCCTCACCCCGACCCGACCCGTCCTCACCTGCGTCTCCCACTTCCAGGGCTCAGGCCCTGCTGGCCTTGGCAGGTCCCTGGAGGACCTGCATGGGACCATGAGTCAGGGTCCGAGGGCCTCCGCTGGGTCAGCCGCCCCCCTGCTCTGGCCTGACCGTCCATCCAGCTGTGGCCCCGACGCCTGGACTGTCCCCACCGCCCAGGCCAAGCTAGAGGCCGAAGGGGCCCGTGCTCAGCGGCGGGGTCTGGCTGTGCGGTCAGGGCTTGGGCTGGGCAGCCCTCCCACCCCCGGCCCCCTGCTCTGGCCAGACCCTGAGAGTGCCCTGGGCACCCCATACTCGGCGGGGCCTGCACCCTGCACTCTTCATCTTGCACCCCGCAGGCCGGCCCCTTTGTGCCCCTCGGGGGCCGGCCTCTGTCCCCCCGGGCTGCCCTGCTGGGTTCCTGACTGCCTGGACACGCGCCCGACCAGCTCCCCGGATGCAGAGGCCCAGTGCTCTGACCAGACCGGGCCCCAGGACTCTGGCTCCCTCCAACACCCAGGCACCCACTTGGAGTTGGGCCACCGATGGGCCAGAACCGCCTTCCTGCCCATGGGGTCCCGAGAGGCAGAGCTGGGACAGGGTGGGAAGGGCCGGGACTGACCAGCCCCCTGCCTGGGACGGGTGGGGGCAAAATTGGGAGGGGGCTGGGCGGCACCCCCCTTCCCCCGACAGCACCGCCCGCTGAGACCACAGGGGGCGAGCTCCCTCAGAGACACAGAGAGAGAGATAGGAATATACAGAGACACAGACAGACACAGAGACAGAGAGGTAGGGAGACACAGAGACAGAGATAGGGAGGTAGAGACACAGAGACAGAGCGATACGGAGATTCAGAGACTTGGGGCTTCACAGAGACACCCCCTCTGAGGACTGGCCCAGGAGAGCCCTGCTCCGTCGGGGGGCTTGAGGCATCAGCCCCCACAGGTACTCGGGCTGCAGATGCCTGAGGTCGGGCCCCCACAGGAAGCCCCGGGTGTCACTCACGCTCGCCCCAGGACACCCTCAGGGGCCTTGATCTGTGGGGGGCTCCGGGCGGGGTTGGGGCCCTCCAGGAAGCTCCCATGCCTGAGGAGAGGGTCTGGGGGACCCCAGGAACAAGGGGCACAGTTGACCTCAGCCTACTGCCAACTGCCAGGAAGCTGCCCCCACACCCTGCACCCCTCACCGCTGCCCCTCACCCTGCAGCCCTGACACTGCACTCCCCGACACCCCGCACCCTGAGCCGCCCCCAGCCCCCCAGCCCCTGGCCCTCCTAGCCCTACTTCAGTCTCCTGCCTCCTAGTCACGGCCGTTTGCTGGGGACTAACAGCTGGGCCGAGAATGAGGACCCGGACCCCGAGTGTCCACACTGCGTGTGGGGGCTCGGCACGGCCTCGGGGCAGAGGGGGAGGAGGGCCGAGGTGGCGCCTGCAGGAGGCGCAGAGGGAGGGCAGCACCTGCCACCTCCGGGAGCGGGGCCGGGCGGGGCGCGAGTCAACACGGAGCCGGATTTAGCCCGTGTGTGTGGACAGACCAGGGCGGGGCGGGCAGGCCACGTGTGTGCTGTGCTCCCCTTGTGTCTGCGTGTGCACACGTGTGGCAATACACGTGTCTGTAGGAGTGTGTGTTCGTGTGCTGTGTGTGAGCCTGCATCTGTGTCTGCGTGTGTGAGCACGCACGTGTCTGTGTATGCATGTGTCTGCACTTACCCGGGTGAGCACGTGTGTTTGCGCGTGCACTCATGCGTCTGTGTATGCCCCGGTGCGTGCGCTGTCTGTGGGCACGTGTGTGCGTCGTGTGTGTGTACTGACTGTGTACATACGTGTGTGCCCCTGTGTGAGCACGGTCTCTGTGCGCACGCGTGTGTGCCCGTGTGTGGGCTGTTCTGTGCACGCGTGTGCAGGTGCCTGGGGCTTCCTTCTCCCCCGCCCCCGCCGTGTCTCCCTTCTCAGGTCCGAGGCGCTTCTGAGAGTGCGTGAGAGACTTCCCGTGATGCTGTGGGGCCGCAGGTGCACTGTGGGGGGCACTCGAAGTGGAGGGGGCAGCGTCGGAAGCCTCGTCTGGCGCTTCCTGAGGCCCGACCCGACTTGGTGTCACTGGGCTGTGACCGGGGGCCGGGGGCTCTGGCCGGGACCGATTGAGTGGGTCGCTGTCTCATTGTTCCTCCTCCCTCTGCCCTGCACTCGGACATCCAGGGACACTCTGGGGGGGGGGAATCCCTTGTGACTCGGGCAGAGCGACCGGGTGGGCTGGGCTTGCAGGGGACAGCAGGGCTTGTGGGACCATGCCCGGGTGCAGGCCTGAGTCCTCACGTGTGCCGTTGTCCAGCTCACCCTGGGGGCCACGTCCTGCGACACCAGGTCCACCCCTGCAGGTCATCTCTGCTCCGAGACAGCATGCAGTGGCCAAGGCACCGGGCCGGGGAGACGAGCCACTCCCTGTGCACTCCCGGGGCAGAGACCCCGTCGCAGTAGCACCGAGACCCGCCTGGAGTTGACCTGCAAAGTGTCCCTCGGGGGCATGGGCCTCGAACCCGGCCAGCCTGGGTTCGGTCCCGGGCATCGCATGTGGCCCCCTGAGCACTGCGAGGGGTGACCTGAGTGCGGAGCCAGGAGCAGGGGCCCCCGAGCGTCACCGAGTGCGGCCCCCAAACCCAAACCAAAGGAAACCCACAACCCAAAAATAGAATAAAAACTCGCTGTCGACAAAATGGAACGGGCGGCAGCTGGCAGGAGGCCCCAGGAGGGGCTGCCCAGAGGCAGGGAAGCGGGAAGGGCAGGTGCGCCCCCGAAAGCCGCGGAGACCAGAATAACCCGCCAAGAAACCCCGTCACCTGGGGCAGGCGGCTGAGACCACACAGGCCACCGTGACCCCAGAAGATGGGGCCGCGGCCACGCCGCCACACAGTCGGCTCATGCAGGCGGGGCACAGCCGGGAGCCAGGGAGGTGGGCGCCGGGCATGGGGTGGACGCCACCCCCGTGTGGGAACAGCTCACAGGCCTGGGGCCCGGGGCGTGTCTGCGCAGGAGCCTGGGCTGGACGGTCCACCAGGGAATGGGGCCAGGCAGGGCTCCCATCCAGCTGTGGGCACCGCCCTGGACGTCGGCGAGTGGGAGTACCTGCCGGGAATCCCACCTGAGGGACCTGAGTCGGCAGAAGCTGCCCCCTTAGGGCTCAGTAAGGGGGACGGGGCAGCCCAAGTGCCCAGCCCAGACGGTTTGGGGGTATCCACAGTGCAGCGGCCACAAGGAGGGACGGATTCTGCAGCTCTGCGGAGGGATCTGGAGAAAGTCGGGGGACAGTCACAGGTGACCCCTCATCAGTGGGGATGGGGGAGACCCTGGACAGTTGGTGGGGAGGGTTGGCACCAGGGTAGCTTCCGTGGGAAAGCTGTGACCCCAGTACCCGAGTCACGTCCCCGAGGTGTGTGAAATACGCTGGATGGACCTGGCAGTGTCTGACCCGGGTTTTATCCTGGCACCCCGTGTGGTCCCCGGGACACCGCCAGGAGTGACCCCTGAGTGCAGAGCCAGGAGTGAGCGCTGGGAACCGCTGGGCACGCCCCCCCAAAAGAATCAAGGTTTAAAGGGAAAGGGGAAGAGAGAGGGAGAGAGAGAGAGAGAGAGAGAGAGAGAGAGGGAGAGTCTCTGTGGGACCAG